TAATTTTAAATAATTAATTTTTTTTATATATATATTCCATTGAATAGGGAAGAGGAGAATTGGTAGGAATGATTATTTCGATTTGGAAGCCTAGATAAAATCGAATTATTTATTTGAAACAAGAAAGGATTGCAAAAATATTTACTTTACATATATATATAGTTTCGCACTGCAAAAGATATTTATTTTACATAGCCTCGTTCAAAATCCCGAAAGGCGTATCGCGTATAAGCGTAGGAAGTGCGTAGGGGGACGGATCCCTCTCTTGTAAAATGCCGCCGCGGCGGGAACGCGTGTCCGCGACGGCGCGCGATATCGATCGACGCGTGCCGGTGCTCGGGGAGACAACGCGGCTGACACAAGGGCGCCGGCTGCCTTTCTCCCCTCGCCCTCGTCCCGTAGTCCCTCGCGCGTATCGATGCGCGTGTACGCGCGACCGTCGTCCGTCCACGCAAACGCTCTCGCCAGGTGCGCGTCTCATGCTCCCGACGAGAGATCGCGGGTCGACGTCGATGTGGATGAAATTAATTTAACGCGCGACTGACATTGTTATCTCGTTCCAGTCTGGGGGCAGTGCTCGCATTGTTTCCACATACACTGCATCATGAAGTGGCTGCACTCGCAGCAGACCAGCCACATCTGCCCGATGTGTCGCCAAGAGTGGAAGTTCAAGGAGTAACCGCCGACGCTTTCCGGACGGGCCCGCAGGTGTCAGCACGCAGCGAGTAATCAGGTAATAATGCGTGTCCGTACCTTGGATCCAGCTGACGAAACGTGAATGTAATACACTAGATGATTTAATTCTTTTTAGGGCATGTTAATCTCTATAAAAAAGATCGTTAAATCAGATTCACACGAGCTGAATTTTCGATGCGCAATCGATCCTAAGTCTATTAAAGAAAAGACAATTACAAGCAACAGCAGATGGCAATACGCTTGTTAACATCTATCTATTCGTAAACACATTTCTTAAATCGATTCAACACACACACACACACGCACACACACACACACACACACACACATATATATATATAGTATGCTGTTCACTGAAAACTCAGTTTCCTAACGAAACTGGTATAAACGATTAACTTATGTGTTTTCTAAGAGAGATTGTATTTGTGTGTACTGCTATAAATTTAGGACGTTATCTAAAAAAAACTCGTCCATCCGCTGAAACGTTACAAGAAAAAAATTGTTGAGAGTGTTTAAAATATAATATTTTTTAATTCAGCATCTTAAAAGGCCTCTAAAAACGAAGATATTGAATTATATACCGCGTATAATATATGTTATATATATGTATGTATAATATATGTTATAAAAGTATCTTTTTTTAAGCTGCTTAAGAGGATGCCGGATACCGACAGAATGCGAATATTAGTAGGATTGCAAAATATTTTTGTTGATTATAGATATCAACAAATCCTTTTCCATAATTAAAGTATACATAATAACGGAGTGCGGGGTTTATGATTTCATATGAAAAGTAAAAAAAAAATTAAAAAATTACAGTTTTGTTATCGGCTTCTGCCGTCAACATTTACTTAATATAAAAAACCTGCAACCTGCACGTGCCTAACAAGTGAACTCCGCACTCGGCATTTTATCAAAGAGTATTAGTGAACTTCGAGAAGTGAGTTTAGAAGCTTTATAAAAAAGATTTTACTATGCAACATTTTGCACACCGAAATGTTTCTTACTAGGCTTTCAAATACATTTTCAAACGTTCACTTATATTCCTTCATGCATTTCCGAGTGGAGAGGTATCCTATTTTGCACGTACACACCGCAAAACCCTTATATTAAGCAAATATATAATTACAAGAAAAAAATTGTTGAGAGTGTTTAAAATAT